GTAGTTATAAAATTCTATTTAAATATTCATACAAATTACTCAACAATCTATTTGTAAATTAAATAAATAAAACATCAGCATTACTGATCCCATAATTTAAGACAAGACACTGTTGCCATGTCGACAAAAAATTTCAATTAAATTAAAGCTAACCTCTGAACGGTCCTCCAAACAAACAAAAAGATCATTTTGACAAACAGAACAATGACGTAAGTCGAATGAAAAGAAAGGATAAAAAGGAAGGTATCTATATATTAAGGGGTTAAATCAATGTCGACGATTCTGAGCGTGCACGTCGATCGTCGATACAATCAATAAGGCCGATTGTGAATCACTTAGCGGCGTTGTTCATCGGGTCTGGCCAGTCGCCGATTATGTAGGAGGTCGAAGGTGGTGTAAAGGATCAGAATATGGATATACATATAACACACGCGGCGAGGAATGAGAGGGGTGGGCAGGACCCATTAGGCTAATCCCTCGTCGGCGGCCTCGGCCAAAGGAACGGAATGAGAAGGAGTGAGAAAGCCACAGGCTACGTGTCATTCCTGCTCGCCTGCCGACACCTATACTCGACCGACACCTTCGTGATCATGCTACGAGTATATCCGCTCAGAGGTGCTCCCTATCACGACTGCCCTCTTGCATTTTCATCTTTTCTTGCCGTATGACTCTTTCAGATGCTATTTGGTTTCGATTTTTGGGTGTTTAGGAGCTGGGTATCTGTGGATTTGGAGATTTAGGAAGTTGGGGTTTAGGGACATTTGGGGATTTAGGGATTTGGGGTTCTGGCAATTTCAGGACTTAAGGAGTTGGAGTCTTGGGGATTTAGAGAGTTGGGGTTTAGGGACATTTGAGGATTTAGGGAGTTGGAATTCTGGGAATTTAAGCAGCTGGAGTTTTTGGAGATTTAGGGAGCTGGGGATTTGGGGATTTAGGGACTGGAGGACGTGGCGACTTAAGGCTTGAAGATTTGGAAATTTGAGAATTTGGAAGTTTGGGAAATTGGAACCTTAGGGATCTGAGGATTCGGGGATTTGGAGATTTATGGACTTGTAGGTGTACGAGATTTGGAGGTTTTGTGAATTTAGGGATTTAAAAAATTCAGAATTTGGAAATTTAAAAACTTGAGATCTTAAGCATTTGAAAACTTGATGATTTAAAAAAGAATCAAGCATGAATCAAAGAATTAATTAAAACTATATTGCATTCTATAATCAAGATACAATGAAGAGTTCTGAACTCTCCAAAGTGGTCCCTAAGCAAATATTCACTACAAAGCCTAATTTAAAAATAAATTTACTATAACTCAGTAAATTTACAAAAATGTATAGAAATCTATTATTCTAAAGATTGCATATTATATCAGTATATCATAAATCAGTATATTCTGATTCGTCCTGTTGCGTTCGTGTATAAAGCTATGTACATTTAGGTACAATTATCGTTCAACATCGCAACCACGATTAAAAGCGATAATTACAAGGATCCCTTTACGAGCGCGAACAAGGAAATAAAAGAAGCGTTTGATGGATTAAGTTTTAATTAAAAGGTATTAACCATTAACGATGGTCATTTACAGGGCTGATGAACGCTCGAGCAAAAGCTGCCCGATGGATATCTCTAATTGAGGGTTTCAGTTTTAAAGTGGTCCGCAATATTTCTCTGGACGATCTAAGATCGAGTGTTCGATGCTTTTGCACCTCTTGTCGCGTTTTACATTCCATTAACATACATTCATTGATATCTTGCGTGATATGATTACTTGATGCCTTTTCAACGTTCATTCGGAAATGTTTGCTACAGCATTATATTTCTATCGTTTGCATATTCGTTTGGAGATATCTTAATCACTGTATTTATTCGATACGGAAATCTTCGATAGTAATTATGATACTGTCGTTTTGTGGTTTATTCATATTGTTATTGGTCATTTAGTGAAATCTTCAATGTTTGGTTGTTCAATCATCAAACTAGTAAGTTCTACTTACTTATTATAAAATCATTGGTAACCATGGTCTGATACATAGTTACATTAATAATACAGTAATTCCTACAGTCTACATATTTATATTTATGCAATTGTATTTTATAATACATAACTATTCAATAGCAAACCCTAATCTCAGTGCGTAATCTCTCACGGCCACCCGAAAGAACGTGGTTCATCATGAAATCCAATTAAATTCTTCATTTCAATAGCCTCACCTCGAAAATTCTATATTATTTTCTGGTGTTTCGAGTCTTTCGCTACTATGAAAACTTTCAAACAATAAATCACGCCGATCAGCAGAGACCGCGCGATAAATGAACTTCGCTTCACAAAATTTCGAATAACATTAAAGAAGACTTAATGCGTCAACCTCGGACGAAATACGAACTAGATTTTTTATTTTTTTTTTACCGCTAATTCCCTAAAAAACACTCTCGTGAAAAACACTGCATCGGGCAGTTGAGCTTGAGAAGGTTAAAGTTGTGCGGGCCTCGTGGCAGTTGCTCGCAGTTTCGAATTGGCTCCACGGTGAGGCATCGGCATAATTCACTGATTCGTCAGTGACATTACTGTCGCTAGTTCGATGGTTCACTGATTTAGCAGTCGAAAGCACAGAAAACTAGTTGAAAATTCACCGAGCGAATCAATGAAAGCACCGATTCAGTTCGGACTCGAAGGGAACGCGTATAACTCGGCTTTATTTTCAGGTATATACAAAAATACTATTGATATGACCAAAATTTACAAGGCAAATATAAAACATATGCGCAATAGTCAATCGTACTTAAAATAGAGAACTGGTTCAATGAGTAAATTAGGTACAGAGTAATATACAAGTTCAATGAATAAATTAGATTGAGAGTAGGTCCACAATCTTAACCAGTTGCAGATATTTAACCTTCAGTTTAAACCTTGATGAAAAATACGAAATTAGATAAAAAATGATAAGAATGTAAAAGTAACTTAATCTGATACAACATAACCTACATAATATGTGAGTATATCGTCATTCCTTCGAATTCTGCTTCTAGTCTTTGACACCTTCGTTTTGTATCTCCAAGTATCAAATAAAGTAATGGACGACGTGATAAATACCCAACAATAACTTAACCTAAGTTAATCTAATGTTCACCAGTATTTGAGATAAGAATGAACTGATTAGTATCAGAAGTTGGGAACTCAAAAATAGAGCTGCAAGTCGACAATTTTGTAAGATTCCAATATTACACTTCATTTTCAAAGTTTATAAATTCAAAATTGATTCAGCTGTGCCATAACACAATGTCCACTTGGATACAAGCATGAGCTGATAAATATAAACAGGACAAAAATGTAGATAAGTGCAAGTTAAAAGTTCACATCATTTGCACTTAATTTCCAACATCTAAGATTTCAAACTTCACCTATACATCCCATGACGCAACTAATGTTCACTTAAACCTTCGTATGAGTAAATAGAAGCAGGACAAAAGTTCAGAAAAGAAATGCAAGTTAATTCATCCATCATTTGCACTTAATTTTCAAAATCTATAATTTCAAACTTCACTCATATAACCTAATGTTTGACCCAAGCTTCTAAACTTACTAAACTTAATACAGTAAAAACTGACAACCAGCAAATGAAAAACTTTTAAAGATTCCTCAACATAATTCACAAATCACCTATAAATTAAAAATTCTTGCAGATATGTCCTTATCAGCTAAAGCCATTCGCATGGACTCAAATATAAGTCACACCGAAACAATGACGTAATACCAGTATAGCAATTGAATTCAGAAACTGATTGATTAAAAATCTGTTGAAGAGTATCGACGGTAAACTGATCGAGGCGTGACGGTAATGGTGTCCTATGAATGAGCACCACTGTCGACGTGTGGCAGGCGGTCCGTTTGATCTCCGCGGGACCCTCATAGGGCCCAGGGTCCCTTTGCTCCTCGCCCCTTTCCTCACATTCTCCAAGATCCACGATCGAAGGATATACCCTTGTCCTTTTCTTCCATCCCTTCATTACCCTCGCACCCTCTCGCTCACTCGTTCTCTCTAAAAATAAACGCACGTATCGGGTGTCTCTTTCTTCGGACGTCTTTCATCTTTCTTCTCACCTGAGGTTTCTTCCCGTTTCCTCCCTCGCTCTCGCAGACTATTTTTATTTATAAGACCCTCCTCCCCTTCACTCCTCGCGTCGAATTCTCTTTTCCCTTCTCTTCCTCCCGCGGCAGCGTGCCTGACGGTCTGACTTTTAAGTCTTCGGAACACCTGTACCGCTAATTCCTCCTTGTCTACCTGTATCACTCACGAAAACAAATTCCCGCCTCGTGTCAACGAGCAGTGACTCGTCTCGTTCGATCTCGTCGGGATTTTCAGACGGCTTGGAATTCTGACGCAACGGTGCTTGGCGCTTTTGGTAATTGCGGCTCGAACAGAATCAAGATTATTTTGGGGAGATGAACGTTTTGATGATGCGCAACTTCTCAATTTCTCAGTTTCTTAATTTTTTAATTTCTCAAATTCTCAGTTTCTGCATTTCTGAATTTCTTAAATTCCCAAATTATAATATTCTAAATTTATCAAGTTTTCATATTTTCAAACTTTCAATCACCAACTTCTCAAATTTCCATATTCTTAAATTCTCATAATACCCAAATTCAAAATTTCCATTTCCATTTCAAAATTTCTCCAGATCCAAAAATTTTCCAGTTTCCAAGTCCATAAATTCTCAAACTCAAGAGCAACATAAACCTCTCATAAATACAATAGTAACAATATTTCATCCCAATCAATAAACATTAATAACCCTTAGATATTAACAATATTTATATGTAAATCTACAAATTGTCAAATTGCAGATCAATGTGTGTATTTTTATGAATACAATATTAACAATATGCTGTTCTGTCAATAGACAGTAATAATTTAATTTAATTTAATTTAATATTAACAATTATTATTCCCTGTCAATAAATATTAACAACCTCAAAATATGAAATTGTGAAGCTCAGAATCAACTTGAACCTCTTATAAATAATAACACTTCCTCTTGTCAATAAGTATTTACAACCTCAAATTATTAAAAATATTTTTTTCTAAATCTACAAATTGTCAAGCTTAGAATCAACATAAATCTCTTATAAATATTAACAATATTTCATCTTTGCCAAAACATTCTCAAATATCAATAGTATTTATAAATTAATCATCAACGATCTCCATAGCCTTTCATCCTAACCTCTCACAACATGCATCACGCTACATCTCAGTGTCACCCACTCGCCCCATAAATATCACAGTGACACTGTTCAGCTCGTTGTAAAACAGCGTGATCCATCGATAAGTAGTTAATTATTCGTTCTCCGAATCGAGAGGCAAAGACGAAAATAAACAAAAGAGAAACGAAAGTGGGAGCTGTGTAAGATATCGCGAACGAAGGGCGAAAAGAAAGCAAGAAACTGGCCGATCCATCGTCGGAGGGCATCAAGAGCTTTTAACCTCCGGTATCTACGAACGAAGTTTGACGTATGCGAGCATGTGTACGGGACTTTAAGTCGGGTCCTACGTCGTCGGTTAGGCCAAGTTAGTCCGAATGAGCCGGGAAGCCTTCAGGATTTAATCTTCGGTGGGCGTGAGCAGGATTAGCCAGGTTGCCCACACGTCCGACAAACGGATTACAGGAGTGTCAATATCTTACGGGGCACGCATTATCCCTCTTCTTGTTCTTCTTCTTCCTTCGTTCTCCTTTTTTCGCCTTTTCCCCCCGTTTCTGTATCCTCTTTCGTGACTTCCTCCTCGGGGAACATTTTGTTAACGACACGTCGCACAAATGAATCTGAATAATTTTGTATTCATTACGGTTGCTGTTCGAACACAGTACTCTTCATTTGTTTTGCGTAAGATTAATATTGCGGATACATAACCTTTAGAATTTCACAAATTTTATCTAATTATTCATTATTGAAAATTCTAACCTCTAATCCATTTATGTCCTTTTGATAACCTCATTCTTTCCGAGTGCATTTTTATATTTCGATCGTAAAAGTTTTCGATGTACATATTGCGTAATCCGAACAGTACCGAAGAGGAACGAAGTTACCCGATTTATTATTACGCGTTCGTTCGTTTTGCGTAAGAATTATATTACTTACTTTTGTAGAAATTTTGACGAGGTCATTGTATCTTTACAGGTTTTCAATAAGTAAAGAAACGAACTTCACTTGCACTTTCGTTTTGAAGTTTTCACAGTCACAAATAATACACTTGTTTTGTACAATTACACACTACAAATAATCTTCATCGTTCAAGACGTTCGCTTCGTCTTATTACGTGCTTTACTTTTCTCGAATTAATCAGTGCTACCAACTACTGCAAAATTAGAACCCGGCAGATTGTTGCTGCCAACGATTTTCCGTCGTTATATTCCTTTTACGTTTTACTGCCACGTGTTTGCTTTTCTTATCACTTCGACACATATGAAGGAAATAATATTTTTAAAAAGATACATCAAATTACAATTACTCACCACCACCCAGTATTCCATCAATGGTGTAATCCTTTTTTCCATCATCACCAGGTCGACCACCACGAAGTAATCTACTGATGGAGCTGACACTTGGAGGATCCGTAAAACCTTCCTATGCAAACAAAAAATCAGTATTATTTATAAATTAGGGTAATCAATATAAATACGTCTTGCAACTTTTAGGAGAATATAGAATTGGAAAATGCAGAGATGTGTGAATATGGAAATTTCGAGAATGCAGAAACTTGACGATGTACATAGACATTCGAGAATATACATAGTTTGGAAATGCAATGAGTTGTGAATGTAAGTATTTAAAAATATAGTAATTTGTGAATGTAAATATTTAAAAATATAGTGTTTTGTGAATGTAAATATTAAAAAATAGTAATTTGTGAATGTAAATATTTAAAACTACAGTGATTTAAGATTACAGGAATTCAAAAACATAGTGACACAAGAACACAGAATTTTAAAAATGTAAAAATCAAAAAACACGAGTTTCTGAAAACAAAATGTCAGAAAATATAGCAACCGGCGGATGCAGCCGTTCGCAGTGCACAAATTACAGAGGTCTGCGAATCTAGAAATGCCGAGATTATGGAAATTACGTAATATTTTAATTTGTGAGTCCCGTTCGAAATCAATTTAATAACAATAATCGAAGAAGGACAATGTAAAGTGAGTTCGCTGCCGGCGCACCGTGGCTTACACTTTGCCTGGCATTTGCGATTTGCAAATGCAGTCTACCGCACTGCAATTTTGCGCGATCATTTTCAAACTAAAATATACATTTTGCGCCGACAAGATTCAACGTTATATTGCACATCGCTGGCTAGCACCGTTATACGCAACTATTCACTACGCTTGAGTTATTCGACGGCTTAGTTCGATGGTTAGGTTAGGTTGCAAACTTTTCATATTGACATGCAAGGTTTGTTGCAAAGAATGTAAAATAATTAATACTCTCGCTGTTCTGATGATTTAGAATGATTGGAGAGGTTGAATCATCTACTGTAATTATAAATTATTTTAATGATATATTAAAAATTCATCAAACTTAAAAATTCATGTACAGCACTAAATTTTTATATTTAATAAAAAATAGTTTTTTAACTAATTCATGAGGGAGAAAATTGTTTAGTTTATATTAGATGGCCCACTCTGTATAATAATTATAAAAAATTCTCAGTAGCACTACATTCTGATATTTAATGACAAATTATTTTTTAAATCAATCTATGAATAAAAGAGCAACTTCAAATGATCACAATACATAATTCAACATATATTGTCACTATAAAAAATGTTCCATAACATCAAATTTTGATATTTAATGATAAATTATGTTCTTAGTTAATCCTCAATAGAAGAACAACTTAAAAGAATCATATTAAATAATCCAACTAGTATAACAACTATAAAAAATGCTTCACAGCATTAATTTTTGATGTTTAATTTTAAATTACTTTCTTAATTAATCCATCAAGAAAAGAACAACTTAAAATGATCCCATTAAATAATTCATCCTGTATAGTGATTATAAAAAATCCTCAACAATACTAAATTCTGATATTGTATGATAAATTATTTTTTTTTAATTAGTCCATGAACAAAAGCACAATTTAAAGTGATCGCATTAAACAGTTCACTCACCATTGTAAAATAATTTTAAAATGTCAACCAAAGCCTTAAACTGTGATGTTTAATAAAAACCTCTTCAATGAAAAATTCAATGATACTTAATTTTACCATCAATAGACAAGTATATTTTAAAATGATAAAAGAGTTGTCACTCTATAATTTGAGAAGTCATCAAGAGCACTAACTTTCAAATCTGTTCAATATTTAAAATTCTTCATTAGCAGTCATAAGCCATAATTCAAGAAACCTTTTAGTCAGCTGTTAGCAAACAAAATGGCTGCCAGTCTATTTAAGAGTTATGCACAAACTCATCAGAATTCATAAGCAAAAGGCGGTAATCTCGAGTGCAGGTTGAATTAACACCGGTACAGTTCGATAACTGCACGATCGGTAACGGTAATTCGTAGATCTCGACCACCATGATCCGTGTATCCGCCATGATCGCAGCCGGCGGCGTTCTGGAAATCTGTGAAAATCCCGTCGATCGGATCGATGGATCCCGATCGAGATAACCTGAAAACGTGTCGAGCGAAGAAATCGTTGGTGGCAGTGAATCGGGTGAATCTTGAAAAGAGAACCAGCTAGAGTGTCCTAGGGCTAAGGTGAAGGAACCGTGTCCACGCGTTCCAGGGTGGAACGAGAGACACGAGAAGGGTGCGAAAGAGAGGGAAGTGAAAAAAAAGGGGGTCGTCGGTGTCGATGGCTATCTGTGGGATCGGCGATCTCAGAAACAATAACGATCCTTGTGCCGTTGGTGGCGGTCGAGGCTTTAGGGTTCGGGGCGATGACAGCACCGGGGAGAGACAGAGAGCCGTTCGTGCTGGAGCGAGCGAGGGAGAAGGACGGATAACGCCCCGGGTCTTGGAGGCCCAGGAACGCCTTCTTCCAGCATTAAATGCCGTATTAATGCCGGCCACGACCGCCTGCTTCCACGACTCCAACGACGTACTCTCCTGTCTCTACCTTCGACGGTCCTCTTTGTCTTAGTCTCACTCTCTTCTAGCTTCGCAGGATTTATCTCTCTATCGAGAAGCCCTGAGGGCGCAACGAGTGGTCCTTTGGTTTATTGGGATCTCCGTTTGAGAACCTCGCCGATCTTATCGACGGAGATATCTTCTTGTTCCGCAGCAAAGACCTGCTACCGATACCCGATCATCTCGATCGAAGGTTTCGGCGGTTTGCTGGACTGGTACTAATGTGTCTGCGTTAGGTCCAGAATGGTGGTGGTCGCTTTGGCGAGTTTTGGCAGATTTTAGAGATAGGGTCTTTGGTAGATTAGCACTTGGTCATGTGTTTGTAAGCTTGATTATTGCTCTTAAACTCTTATCACATCATTACTACTTATGGTTATGTAGAAGTTAAACGTCTGCAGAGTGCAACTAGAGATTAGGATAAGTGTATATGTGCCTGCGTACTTAGGTTATAGAAGTTAAACGTGTGGAGTCAGAGTGCAACTACAGATTGGGATAACTATAGACACGTTCCTGATTACTTAGTTAAGTTATTCCTGAATATTTAGTCAGGTTAAAAAAGTTAAGTATCTGGAGTCACAATGCAACTAGAGATTGGCATAAGTGAATATGTGCCTGCGTACTTAGTTAGGTTATAGAAGTTAAACAAGTGGAGTCAGAGTGCAACTACAGATTGGGATAACTATAGACACGTTCCTGAATACTTAGTTAAGTTATTCCTGAATATTTAGTCAGGTTAAAGAAGTTAAGTATCTGGGGTCATAGTACAACTACTGCTGGTTAGTACAAATATGTACATGTGTCTTACTTGGTTAGAATACTTGGTTAGGTTCTAGAAACATCTCACATCAGAGTGCAACCACTGCTTATTGAGATATGTGTATAACATGTGACTAAATACTAAGTCAGTGTTAGACCCTCAAGATAACTGTGTACATACTTGTATACTTGGTTAGGTCAGTTTGGTACATCCTCAGAATAACTCCTGGTCAGGCTAGGTTATTTCATCAAGAACTGATGCTTGTGATCAGATCACAGAAAGGAGTCAATACGGTTGACCCTTCTACAATATCTTATCAACTTCCTTATCAAACTTTAAAATGTAATACTAAAGGCTAGAACATTCTGAAAGACGTAATTTCTTTCCATTATCACGTTACCCCCCTTTTCATGAAAGCACCGTCCAGCAAATGATGATCCTCGGTGTTCGCTCGGGTGTTTACGATTTTTCAAGGTGTCGAGATAAAGGCCTAGTACACGGAAGAGGTTATTCTTGGAAAAGTCGTTTTGCATACTCGAAAATCGCGGCACGAACGAGGGAGCGTTACGCCAATGAGGCGTGGGTGTAGGCGGCGGCCAGTAACGTATTAAAGGACACGCGAGTCGCCTGAGGGCGCTCACGTACACCCTTGCCCACCTCGTGCACGCCTCGTGCACAAGATTAAAAAGCCCCGCTAGCTCGCGATCTGTCGAGAGATACGGGAACCCTGCGGAAACACGTCCACCCCCGATCAAGAGGTCGAACGACGATGCCCCCCAACGTTTTCCTTGCTGGGAAATGGGAATTGATATTTTCTTCGACAATTTGATTTTTCACATTCAAATTCTGATATCTCTACATTATTAGATTTCTAAATCCTGAAGTTTATATTTAGAGATCTTAAAGTTAATTTGTAGATCTCCAAATCTCAATGTGCCTAAGTACCATTTATCTTCATACTTTTAGGCCTGGATCTTCAAGCTTCTCACATTTTCAAATCTCCAAACTCTAATGTCCGTAAATACATATATCTCCACAGTTTTTAACTTCTATATCTTTTCATCCACAATTCCCTGGTTTTTATGTCTACAAATCCCAATGTCCCCAAATACCATACATTCCCATATTTCTGGATCTCTATATTTCTGCACCCACAAGTACCAAATCCTCACATTCTTAGATTTCCAAATCCCAGTGTCCTCAAATGTCCCCATATTCTTAGACCTCTATATCACAAGGTTCTTAAATCTCAAGCTCCCCATACTCCTAGACCTCTATACCCCAAGATTCTGAAATCTCAAGCTCCCCAAATACACTGATCTACAGACCTCCACATTAAACCTTCATATCCCTAGATTATAACAACTGCTGTCTTTCGAAATTACTACAAATCCCTAGATACTTTAATTCCTACATAATTTCTAGATCCATAAACTGTTAGATTTCAAGTTCACCACATTGTCAACTTATCTCTATGGTTTCAAATCTCCAAAAATCCTTTGGTCCAACAGTCAAATTAATAATAACAAAATCCTCAACCCAACAAAATTGTTGAGTTCTCTGGTGGAAAATTGTGAAGTCTGACGGTCCTTAATATCCTGTTGATAATTTATCTGATTATTGTTAATGTTGTTTTGGTTAAATGAGGAAACTTGGAAATTGGTGAATTTTACTATAAGTACACTTTAGATCAGAGTTAAATAATATTTGACAAATTTTTAATTTGACAAAGTTTGATCTGTCTAAATTAATTTAAGAATTTTTTAAAGTCTTCCGATTATACAAATTTTTAAATGTAAAAACTTGTGAGGTTCTTGAATATTAAAATTATGAAATTTAAGAGGATCTATGATTATTAATAGAGTGTTGAAAGGAAAATAAATGCGGTTTACGTGGAATGTGATCTTTTGAAATGTTGAAATTGGGTCGTCGATTATGTCGAAGGTTGATGTATATTAGTAGTAGTAGTTTATGAATTAATTAACATTTACCAATATGATGATGTCGGCTGATTAATGGAGAGATAACTGAGTGCGAACAGGTGATTGATAATGATGATTTGATTATTAATATTGATTGTATATCTTTGATCATTTCAATTTATTTTATTGTGATTGATGGTTTAAGCGTAAAGAATGCAGATGGTCTTTTATGAACATTATGAATAGAGGTATTTAAGTATACTTTTAAACTTTTTTAAAATTACTTTTGGTTTTTGTAAATTTTTTTAATTACTGGAGTTTTTCAAACTTTTTCAAGCTTTTTGAATTTCTCAAATTACGGAAATTTTCTAACTTTTCTAAGTTTTCTAAATTTTTTGAATTTTCTAAATTTTCCTAAACTTATTAAATTTCCTAAATATTATTAACCTTTTACATTTCTTAAATTTTCCCAAATTTTCCAAAATTTCTAAATTTGTAAAATTTCCTAATTTTTCCAATTTTCCCAACTTTTCTAAATTTTCTAACTCTTCTAAATTCTTTAAGTTTTATTTTGGAATATTTTAACTTCATTAATTTTCTGAATATTCAAAATTTCCTAAATTTTTCAAATTTTATGAATCTTCCAAATTTCACAAATTTGTCAAAGTTAATAATTTTCTAAAATCTTCTAATTTCCTTAAATGTTTCAATTTTTTAAATATCCCAAATAACCCTAATACCCCAAATACCCCAAATATACTAAATATACTAAATATCCAAAATATTCAAAATATCCAAAATACTCCAAATATCCAAAATAATCAAAGTATACCAAATATCTCAAATATCCAAAATAATCCAAATATTCCAAATATTCCAAATACTCCAAATACTCCAAATACTCCAAATACTCCAAATATCCCAAATATCCTAAATCTCCCAAATATCCCAAATACTCAAATATCCCAAACATCCCAAATACCCAAAATACCCAAAATACCCTAAATGTTCCTAATACCTCAAACATCCTAAATATCCCAAATTTCCTAAATATACTAAATATCCAAAATATCCTGAATATACTAAATATCCAAAATATCCAAGATAATCCAAAATAATCCAAGTATCCCAAATACTCCAAATATCTAAAATATCCAAAATAATCCAAGTATCCCAAATACTCCAAATATCCAAAATATCCAAAATAATCCAAATATTCCAAATACTCCAAATACTCCAAATATTCCAAATACTCCAAATACTCCAAATATCCTAAATCTCCCAAATATCCCAAATATCCAAATATCCAAATATCCCAAATACCAAAAATACCCTAAATGTTCTCAATACCTCAAACATCCTAAACACCCCAAATCATCAAAATCAGATCCGAAATATTGAAATCAGAAATCAGCACGTACCCACCACACGCAATAACAAATTCACGCTTCCAATCAACTCTTCAGCATCCAGAAAAGCACCTCCGCTAAATAACATCCGCGAAAATTACTTCTTCCTTACCTTCACCAGTTTCTCCCTAATCTCCCAGGAGAATATTCCCGGATTATCCCTCTTCATCTCCTCGATCCTCGTCTCGATTTCAGGTGTGGCCACCCTGGGTTTGCTGCCGCCGATCACGCCCGGCCTGATGGAACCGGTCTCCTGATAACGATTCAGTATCTTCGACACGCAACCGTGCGAAACCCTAAGCTGCCGCGAGATAACGCAAGGTCGCACACCCGCCGCCGCCATCTCGACGATTTTCAGCCTGATGTGATTCGGAAGTGGCCGTCCGTTGATGAAGACGCCACCCAGTTGATTCATGCGTCCTTGGCCTGTTGAAAACGTTGAAAGCGCTGTTTATTCCCGGGACGACTCAATCGAACGTTCCAGAAATTTATCGGCCCGATTTCATGCACCTTGCACGACGATACTCGACCGCTTATTAAAGTGGCTTGTAATTCGAATGGAGGAGGCTCGTTAATGCCTGTCGCTTTCGGGATTATTGATAGTGGAGGATACGAATGTGATGGTGGTTTTTCGTTGGTGCACGATGAGTGTCTACAGACTTGTAATACGGATTTGGGAGTATTGTTGTCTGTGAGTGGGAAGGTTAAGAGATTTTAGTTAGAAAGCTTGAGATGTCGAGGAATATCAAGGGATATCAAGAAATGTCAAGAAATATCAGGAAGTATCAAGAAACACCAAGGAACATCCAAAAATATAAGAAAATATCAGTGAATTTCAATAACTAACAAAAAATATTAAGAAACACCTGGGTACATCAATAAATATCAATAAATATCAATAAATATCAATAAATGTCAATAAATGTTAATAAATGTCAATAAATGTCAATGAATATCAATGAATATCAATAAATATCAATAAATATCAATAAATATCAATAAACATCAACAAATATCAATAAATATCAATAAGTATCAATAAGCATCAATATTTATCAATAATTATCAATTGCTATCAATGAATGTCAATAAATATCAATAAATATTAAAAAGTATCAACAACAATCAATCAGGAACAACAATTATCAAGAGATGTCAAGAGATATTCAGTTACATTAAATAAATATCAAGGAGTTTTAAGAAACACCAATAACTATCAATGCATATCAATGAAAATAAGTCAATATAAATTAATATAAACGAATATCAATGAATGTCAATAAATGTCAATGAATCTGAATGAATATCAATAATTATCAATGCATATCAATGATTATCAATGAATATAAATTAATATAAATGAATATTAATGAATATCAATAAATATTAATGACTATCAATGCCTATCAATGAATATAAATTAATATTAATGAATATAAATGAATGCCAATAAATGTCAATGAATACCAACGACTATTAATGACTATCACTGACTATCACTGACTATCAATGAATACCAATAAATATCAAAAAAATGTCAAGAGTTATTGATATAAAGCTCTTCAATTGTTATCAGCGATAAAAGTATATGAAATTACAATGATATATTCAATTCAAAATCAATTTTGACTAATTTCAAATTGACAACCATAAATTATAATTGAATAATGAAAATTATTAAACAAAATTGATACCTATTGATATTTCATTGGGAATACTAAAATAAGCTTGATAATTTAAGAAAAATACAGTTCCTCCATATTTTATTAATTTATCCTTGTAAAAGCATTGATATTTGATGTCTTACATTAATTTATTCTCATAAAGTGTTAAGTATATTAATAACATGTGCTTCGAGGATATAATCGAGATACAATTTTCAATATTAATTTATGTATAAAGTTAGCCGTATAAATGAAACTATCTAGAGAAATAAATATTCAGCTACTTATCTAAATTATTATATTTATATTTAATTTCATCCCTTATATTTAATTATTAAGTAATTATACGTGTTTATCTGTTTATCTAGTTATATGAAGTAGAACTTATCTAATTATAAGGAACATGAGAACAGTATTATTAAGATAACATCAGAGGTAATTGAATTCCAAATTATCATACAGATCTTAAATACCACCTTAACATTATCTGAACTCTCTTCACATTACCTCAATACTTTGTTAACTGTCTTCTTATCACCTTAATGTTATCTTAATCATCTTAATATTATCTTAAATTGTATAATTATCTTGAGTACCTACAATAATATACGTGTAATAAGTGCCTTTACCCAAGATGTCTATTGAAACAAACTCATTTCCTCTTCTATAAATCGAGTAATATGTTAATAAAAATATCATGTAATACGTGTTCTAAATTCGTCTCGATGTCCTCTAAAGCTACGAATAAAAAAAAATGTATGTCCCTATTTAAAAAACCCAAGGTGACCTCGACTTTGCCAAGAGAACAAACTGTTTTCAAAATTTGCTTTACTAATATCTATTGTGCACTTCAGACCCTGCGAATATTGTTGTAAACTTTCTTTCGTAAGGTGGCTGCAAGTGGGAGAAAAATCGTGAGTAGCGTTACAGGTAACACCCTGTATATGTATACACAGGATCTCGATGTTTCTAGATCTTTGCCATTCCTACATCTCGATATCTCTCAAACCCATCACTCTTTACATCCTAATTGTCTTACATTTTGGTAACTGCACATCTTGATATCCCTGCATTTCGATATTTCTATTAGGGTAGAATGATCAGGCACAAAGAGATAGGGATTGGAATCGAATCGCAGGCGCAAACGTGAAATCGCATAACTGGACGCCGTGAAATAATCAAAACCGCGGCCTAACAGCCGTAAGATCGAAGAACTTATGCGCTCGTTATGACCGGGAGTCGAACTTCGATTACTACTTTCTTTGCCAATCTCGGGTAAGGTTGCAATTAGCGTGATTGCGTCGGGGAGAACGTCGTATTTGGGGAATTGGGAATTTAGTGACTTGGTAATTTGGTAATTTGAGGATTTGGGGATTTGGGGATTTGAGGATTTAGGGATTTGGGGATTTGGGGATTTGGGGATTTAGAGATTTGGGGATTTGGTGATTCGAGGATTTGGTGTATTGGGAATTTTGTGTTTTGGTAATTTGTTAATTCGGGGATTCCGGAATTTGGTGATTTGGGAATTTAGTGACTTGGTAATTTGGTGATTTGAGGATTTGGGGATTTGGGGATTTGAGGATTTAGGGATTTGGGGATTTGGGGATTTGGGGATTTGGAGATTTAGAGATTTGGGGATTTGGTGATTCGAGGATTTGGTGATTTGGTGTATTGGGAATTTTGTGTTTTGGTAATTTGTTAATTTGGGGATTCCGGAATTTGGTGATTTAGGAATTTAGTGACTTGGTAATTTGGTAATTTGAGGATTTTGGGATTTGGGGATTTGAGGATTTAGGGATTTGGGGATTTGGGGATTTGGGGATTTGGAGATTTGGGGATTTGGTGATTCGGTGATTCGAGGATTTGGTGTATTGGGAATTTTGTGTTTTGGTAATTTGTTAATTTGGAGATTCCGGAATTTGGTGATTTAGGAATTTAGTGACTTGGTAATTTGGTAATTTGAGGATTTTGGGATTTGGGGATTTGAGGATTTAGGGATTTGGGGATTTGGGGATTTGGGGATTTGGAGATTTGGGGATTTGGTGATTCGAGGATTTGGTGATTTGGTGTATTGGGAATTTTGTATTTTGGTAATTTGTTAATTTGGAGATTCCGGAATTTGGTGATTTGGGAATTTTGTATTTTGGTAATTTGTTAATGTGGAGATTCCGGGATTTGGTGATTCGTTGATTTGGGAATTTTGTATTTTGGTAATTTGTTAATTTGGGAATTTGGGAATTTGGGAACTTAGGAATTGAAGAATTTAATAATTTAATGATTTAGGAATTTGGTACTTTAGAAATTTGTAAATTTGAGAATTTAGTAACTTAATAACTTTGTCATTTGGAGAATTGGGAATTTTTTATTTCAATAATTTGGAGATTTGGGAATTTAAAAATTTAGTGATTTAGTAATTGGACAATTTGGAAATCTAGTAAATTTTTCAATTCTTACAAATTCCTCAATTTCCAAGAGCTCTAAGTCCCTTGATCTTCATATTCTTAGATCCCCAAATTCACAAATTCTTAAATTTTCCAAATTTAAAAAAATCTACTTCTCTAAATTGCTAAATAACTAGATTATTAAACTTCTCCAATATCCAAATTTCCAAATTCTCAAAAAATCCCAAGGTCATCTAATACGTTTCCAATATTTCTGTGTCCATATATCCTTACGTCTTCAAATTTATAGGATTTCAAAAACTCAGATTATCAAATCCCTATATCCGAAAAATCCTAATAAGTGAGCAATCTATTTCTGCTTTGTAGTCATATTTTATAAGATTCTATTAAATTTGCAACAATTTAGTTACATTTAAAAAAATGTATTTCAAGTTACTAGTATTAATTTAAACTTGCAAATAATTGTTCAAACTTACAGCAATTTATTTAGATTAATAAAAATTTATTAAAAGCTCCTAGAATTAATGTAATATTCACAAAAATTTGCTAACACTGACAAGAATTACATATTTTAAAAATTCCTAAATAATTTTCATAACTGCAAATAAATCTACAGGTTCCATGAATCTAATATTAAATAAAAACCCAACGTAATGTTAACTTTTACGAAACTGCATTGGCTTCTATTAATAATCTACTAAATTCTTATAAGACTTTACACGCCAAATAATCATCAAAAGATAATTTTATATGGGCTATAAATTTATGTCAAATAAACAAGCTAGACATCAAAAAAATAATTTCGAAAACTAGAATATAAGAACACACACAATATGTACATATTATTCAATAAATTCCTATTCCAAGTGTTCAAATATATATACATATTGAAAACTTCATTAAAGAATCCCGATAGCAAATAGGTTAAGTATAAAACAACACATGTCAACAGAAAACAAGACCACGATCCAACACCGACCTTGAAACGGGTATCCTCCAAAGATGGGTCTCATTCCTCCGGTGACGTCCATGGTATCTTATTTCGCTTATCTTCGGAAAGTCACCAGAACTAGTTGTTTTCACTAACCGCGAGTGCCGGACGCAGTAGGCACGCCGGCACGGATGTCCCGAGGCAAAACGACTGTTTGGACGAAACGGCGGAGGTGGAGGACCCGTGTGTCGCGTAGGGGGCAGGGCACGCGCGAGAGGGAACCCCCGAAAAAAAAGAAAGAAAAGACGGGGAAAAACTGGCTCGGAAGGGAGATGGTCGCTTGACAGGACGCGATAGGATAAAAGGAAGAAGCGAGGGGCTCGCGTGGCTTTCGTTGCGAGGGGTATCCCTGCAATAACGTGTCGGTTGGGTCACCGGGACCCCTCGTGTCCCCTCCTCTAGCCGAGTCGCACGGGGACACGGAAAAGGGGGTCCTCGGGAAACAGGGACTACCGGTGGATGCCGAGAGTAACCCCGCTGTATGGCCACGCCCTGTACGCTCGGTTGGTAAAGCGCCGCTTTCCAGTGGGCGTTTCTATCGAGAGGAAACGCCCACGGTGTCCGCGTTCGACGTTCACTGGACGTGGGCCCAGACTGCTGCGGGGGGCACGATACGCCGACCCATGGGTCCCGCGGACCCAGCGACCGGAACGGAAATCGGATCGGAGGAGGCGTGAATAAATAGTCCGACTAATGAAATATACTGGTAATTTGGTTATTTGCATGCCTTAACGGGGATCGGTTGCGACCTGATTGGATCGGAGGATACGACGGTTTAACGCGGTTGTTGTTTACAGGCTTGTATGGTTAATTTAGTGGTTGGGGGCTTCGTTTGGGGAGACGGAGTTTCGCTGATGCCGGGATTTTTGGATTTTAGAGATGGGATTTTGAGAGTTTGGGAATTTGAGATTTTTAGGGTTGGAGAGTTTGAGATTTCAGATTTTGAGATTTTTAAATTTTGAGGTTTTTAAACTTTGAGGTTTTGAGAGTTTGAGATTTTGGGAGTTTGAGATTCTTAGAGTTTAAGGATTTGAGGGTTTAAGGGTTTGGGGATTTAAAAATTTCAGGATTTCAGGATTTTTACACTTTTTAATTTTTAAGTTTTCAGATTTAAAAATTTTAAGATATTAAACTTTAAAACTTTTACATTTTTAGATAATTAAATTCTGAAAACTGTATATTTTGAGATTTTGGTATCTTGAAATCTGCAAGCCTTAACATTTTGAGGTCTTGAGAAGTGCAAATTTTGGATTTAGGGATTTTGAGAATTGCAAATTTGTCATTTACAGATTTTGAGGTCTTTGAATTTAGAAATTTGAAAACTTTAATATGCCTGATGGGATTTTAATATATATCTTGGATTATAAAAACACCCATACATATTTTGAAATTTTAATATTGAGAAATTTGAAAATTTGAAGATTTAAATATTGCAGACTTTGGAAATTTGGTCTAATAGAAATGAAAAAATTTGAAGTTCTGACAATTTTAAAATATAGAATTTTGTAAATATAGAAATTAGAAAATGTGGACATTTAACATCATACGTATTTCTTATAAAATTGAAAATTTTCATAGAAAATTTATATCAAATAAAAGTTTGAAAATTTAGATATGTTGAAAGTGAAGAATTCTGAAAATTGAGTCTTAAACAATCTGAAAATTTGCACATTTTACATCCTAACTTTGAAGATTTGCAAATTTAGAGATTCAGAGATTAAGAATTTCACAACTTAGTGATCTGATATGCGGAATTTAGAACACTAGAACTCAGTCACCTAGAAAAATATAAATTTGAAAATTTGCCTTAAATATTTCAGTTTTTCAAACTAATAAATTTATCTAATTAGAAATTGTCAAATTTTCAAATTTAAATACATGCAATTATATTTGAAAATCTACATCGTATTTCCGAAAACTTCAAATTCTTGTTCCGCCATATTGTGCAACTACCTAACCAAATTCTAGAATTTTCCTCGTAAATACGAAGTATTTCATACAAGAACTTACCATCGTTTAAGCGTCTGTAAATAACGGTCGGAAACCCTAGAGCGTGTTATTCATTCTCATAAACCAATTATCACGAATCATCGCAGCATATCGTAAATCTCTGGAAAGCTTAGCGTCGAAGGACTGCTGTAATATTTACAGACATCGAGAGCGTTCTTCTTTCTTGCAGTCGCGTAGTCCTTAAAGGCCGAGGACATTACGTGCACACGGTTGCTCCCGCAGGACCTCCCGCTGCCCGGTCGCTTCGCTACCGTGCGGAAAGATTTACAGTCGGACTTGGCTGTTTGCTGGGAAGACCTTCGTAAAAATTTACACCGGTCCATCATGCGTTCATTATGATTTTACTCTCAGACAGTGGCGGTCGTAAATATTCCTCGTTTTCGGACACTGGAAATCACTTTCTTGCTACACTGCCCTGCATAAATACACCGACCGTATTTTCAATGACCTGAAGTTTCGGTAGAAAATTACGGTTGACATTTCTTAAATACTTATTCTTGTACAAACTATGTAAAACTGTCACACTAACGTAAGGTAATTTACAGCAAACCTTTTGGCGGTTCGTAAATATTGCAGTGACTACAGATGTTATAGACAATGAATGTAGATTTATTTTTAATTACTGAAGATGGCGCTGGAGTCTGCGGTGTCATGAATATGCCAACCTAATGTATTTTCTTTATGTTGGCGTCAATCGAACCTCACGAATAAATTCGTTGTCTTCTTGCTTTATTTTACGTAAGATTTGTGAAGTTTAGAAAGTGAAATACCTCGTGGGAAAGAACTTTTAAAGAGTGAAAAAGCAGTGATCGATTGTATTGAAAGCAACAGTTATATCGCGAAATAAATACGTTGTTAAAAAAGTGCTATTGCGGATCACAATAGAAGACGTAATTATGGCGGGAAGAAGCGTTCGGGTCGACCAAAAGTGTCATTTTAAGGTAAACGTAAAATTTTACGATTAATTTTTAACTCGACTGTCATTGGTTCAGTTACGATACGATTGTAAATTAAATGTTCCAAAAACCATACATAGAACTATTGTAACATTTCACATCGTTAAAACGAATGAATATCGACGCGATTGAAAAACGAAGATAAAGCGAGACTTTCGTTCGCTGAAGTCTATGAGTACGAATAAGAAAAGTGTTATTAAAAATATTTTATAAGAAACAAATGTTATGTACAATTCGTTTTTGTAAGTTATATTTAGTTCGGAGAAAAATAAAACCTACATAGGCCATATCGTTTTAATTCGTATTGACACGATGTGCGAAATAATGTGAAATATTTTTCGGAACGCAATTTCAGTTGTGGTTAGGTTATGGTTTCCTCACGTAAAAAGCTCGACAGATTATACTGATTACTAATAATTTTGTACTTAATTTATTTGTTTAGAAATTTAGAGAGAACAACATTAAATGAGATTTCTTATATAAATCTATTATGTTGCTAACAAATTTCTATTTTTTAATAGTTATATTTTCACGTGTTAATATGATCATTTCTTTTATGCATACATACATCCTTTATAATACACAACAGTAAATTTAAAAGAGTACATAAAATGGTGCTGCTATTCGTACCAGCTTAATGATTGCAAAAATTGTTATATAATTATAGACAAATGTGTCTGTAAACATGGTAATAATTGTAATACTTAATTTTATTTGGATTATGTTTTCTATAACCAGTTTTAAATTGTCGGCATTTCACATGTATAATTAAAGACTACTTCGTGCTTCATTCATTTCATACTTTTACTTCCTTTCATGAAGTAATTATTACCTATTTATAACATGAATTAAATAAAGAATATTATAGGATTGGCACGACTATAGCTAACTTTGTGAATGTTTTTATTGCATAATTCTCAAACTTCACTATTTTCAAATTTTCAAATTTGGAAATGTATAAATCATAACAGATTATAATCATTCATAAGAGATCACAATATGTCACACTATATTATAAAATATATTAGACTGCAGACAATATATTGCAATAAATACAATTTATCATATATTCGAATTTTCCCGCCATTTCACTACCACTCCCCACGTTACGCAAATAACAAAACTTCAATCTACTTCATCCAAGTTAAAATACGAAACATCTACTATTACAATCATGTCAAATCACGTTATTTATAAATTATCACAAGCCGGTATCAGCCTCTCTCTCCCCCATTCGACCATTGTTCACTTATCCGAACGAAAGTCAATGCTTTAACCCGATAAAAGAGGTGTTGCAAAGTCGATTTAGTTCCGTGCAGTTCGAACGTTCAGCTAGACAAAACGAAGCCCGATGTTTCCGTAGCTAAAAGTTGCCCCGGTATTGTCTAGGAACCGGTAAATTCACCATGAACTGCGGTCTCGAGTGCCGATAGTCCCCCAGTTTATCCACGTAGGAGGTGAAAGTCCAGCTTCGATTTGGATCCTGAAGGAGCAAGGTCACGTGGGTCTGTGACCAAAGAGTGGTCCAGGTAGCACGCTATAACGCGGAAGAAATTGATTAGCCAGATTTCGTCGGATCGATAGTCGGTTTTGTGCACTCTATTGTAACAGGTGACGCTTCGTCGCACCCCGTCGTTGCTCATCGCCGAGAAGCGAAACTGGACAGTCATTTTTACAGAAACGTTTTCTTCTGTTCTGTCTCCAGTCTAAAATGTCTTTCTTCGGTTTCGAAGGTGCCAGGTAGAAAATGCGTTCGAGACGCTCGTAAGGATTCGAGCGTGGATAATTTTATCGGGAGATTTCAGATCGGATGGGGTGGGATTGTTTTCGAGGTTATGGGGTAAATTAATTCGCAGTGGACGATGAGGATGATAAATTGTGTTGAATGGTTTGCGGTTGATTTGGTTTGGTAATGTGGGGGCTTAAGTAGGGGTTGATTTTTTGGGGATGAGAAATTGAAAATTTGGGGTTTTTGAAATTAGATGGTTGGGGTGTAACTAGTTGGGTGTTTGAAAATTTGGAAATTTGGGAATTTGGTAACTTGGGAATTTAGTAACTTGATAATTTGATAATTTTGGAATTTGGAAATTTGGAAATTTTAGAATTTAGAAATTTGGGAATTTGGGAATTTGGGAATTTGGAAATTTGGGAATTTGGGAATTTGGGAATTTGGGAATTTGGGAATTTGGGAATTTGGGAATTTGGGAATTTGGGAATTTGGGAATTTGGGAATTTGGGAATTTGGGAATTTGGGAATTTGGGAATTTGGGAATTTGGAAATTTGGAAATTTGGTAATTTAGTAATTTGAAAATTTGGGAATTTGGAAATTTTGAAATTTGGGAATTTAGAAATTTGGAAATTTGGGAATTTGGAAATTTGGCAATTTAGTAATTGGAAAATTTGGGAATTTTGAAATTTTGAAATTTGGGAATTTGGAAATTTAGTAACTTGGTAATTTGATAATTTTGGAATTTTGAAATTTTGAAATTTTGAAATTTTGAAATTTGGGAATTTCAGAATTTAGAAATTTGATAATTTTGAAATTTTTGAATTTTACAATTTTGGAATTTGCAAATTTAGACCAAAATTACTAGGTTTCAAAATTCCAAAAAGTTTTCAAATTTCAAAAATCCTAAAATTACAATGATTCCAAATACAAAAAATAAATAATTTCCAAGTTCACAATCCAAAAATCTAAAAGTCTCAAATTGTTCAGAAATTTTCAAAATTCAAAAATTTTAAAATTGTACAATTCCAAAATTCAAAATCACAGTCACTAAAAATTCCAAACGACCAAAATCCCAAAATTCTTCAGGAATTTCAAAAATTTTAAGTTTCAAAGTTGTATACCACTAAATTTCCAAACCCCAAATTAAAAAATCCCAAAATTCTATAAAATTTCAAAAATTCTAGTTTCCAAATTTTACTGCCTAAATAAAGTAAATAAATAATTTAACATAATTTTAACGGCACCTAAAGTTGTTAAACTAATTGAAAAATTAATTTTATAAGATTATACTGACAAAAATGTTTACGATACCGGTAAGAACTGCTGAAACACATTCTCACTGTTCAAATGCGATCCATGGCCCCCCGTGGTGCGACATCATCTGGGCTACGGGCAAAATGTCTTTCGTTGCCACAAACACTTCGCCATGGCCCTAAATCTACCTGCACAGCTAGCAATGTAACTTAATGCAATATTTGTAACCACCTACCGTGTACTTGTTTGATGGAGTTTTCTGAAAAACGCGTTTCTGCCTTTCTTACAAGGTTAAATACCAATTCGATTTATTTCCTTCATTTCCAAGAACAATTTTGTAATTTGCACTTTTGTATGAAGGACATTAATAAGCTATTTATATTACAGTTATTAATAAATTAGTTTTCAAATGAAAAAAAAGTTTATATAGGGAAAGGTAAAATTTAGCTAAATTAAATTTTTTATGAAAGTAATATATTGACGCACTATTAGCATGTTATAATTATTAATAAATTCATTATTTTAAAAGATAAGACTTTTATAAGATAAGTATAAAATTCAACTGAAATATTAAATTAAATTTATTGTAAAAGTATTATATAAATTTTGTTTATTACAGTTTTTGTTTTGTCACCTTTCCATTTATAAGAGTGAATTGCATTGTCTGCAAAAACAGTACCTCTTCAATAAAGCACATGTTACAACGCGGGAAAAACTTGTGTTGATCTTTTGTAAAATCCTGATACACATTAACCCAAAAAACTAATTTAAAACATCATTGTGAGGAAATTTTAAATATACAAAAGAATAATTCTATATCCTAACCTAAGCTGTGAAGACGTCGAGTGCATCCGAAATAAAAAATGTCGACAGTCTATCAAAGAAGCGGTAGAAAAAGAAGCGTAGCAGTCCGGCCAACATAGAAGCAACAATGAAGCATTCAGGCGGTCCACATCGGTCGGTAAAACGTTTGCATGAAAAATTCTAATGACGTCCGCGCACGCATAGCGTTTCTCGTCTGGTTTTAACATAACAACGCGTCTCTTTTCGGGACGACGGTGTCCCTCGGACCAACAAATCCGAAGGTTCTCCCATTTTCGAGCAGCGATGAACACTCGTGGAAACAATGTGTGTTGGAAATCGGTGTGGCCCTCGCCACAGGCGTCTTTGACAAGCAGACTGATGTCGGCGTATCACTCATCAAGATTTATCGAGACTTAGACTAATTGCCGCTTTTAATAGAAATTCGTGCGGCCTTACAGAGGGCTCTACTTAGCGGTTCGTCCCTTTCTTTATTCCCCTTCTTCGACGAGGCTCGTTTTTTTCCTGCTTTTCGTCGTCGTTTCGAGCCGAAACCGAGGCGAGAAGAAAGCTGATTCAACGAACGATTATCACGGATAACGCGATGGGAATTACGTGAAATATTGACTACGTTCTAACTTGATGTTTCGTGTCTCGTGTGTTCAACGTGCTAATTGCGGATACGTGAACGCGATGTGTTGAGGTTAGAAGTGAAATAGAAGTGTGAGGTTATTAAGTGGAAAGCTGTTTTGTGATTTTATTAGTGGAGGTGGTTAGTGCCGAATTTTGGTGCGCGGGAATTTTGAAATTTGGGGTGCTGATAGTTTGACAGTTTTATAGTGGGGAATATGGAAATTTATGAATTTATTAATTTGACAATTTAGTGATTTGCGGATTTGGAAATTTTTTAATTTAATAATTTAGATTTGTAGAAATATGGGAATTCAGGAATTTAGGAATTTAGAGATTTGGAAATTTTTTAGTGTAGAAATTTTTACATGTAGAAATATGGGAATTTAGTAATTTGGTAATTTAATAATTTAGTAATTTAGTAATTTAGTAATTTAGTAATTTGGTAATTTAGTAATTTAGTAATTTGTTAATTTAGTAATTTGTTAATTTGGTAATTTGGTAATTTGATAATTTGGTAATTTAGAAATTCAGAAATGTGGAAATTAGAATATTTAGTAATTTACTCATACAGAAACATTAAAATTCTGAAATTTATCAATTTATAAATTTGAAAACGTGGAATTTAAAAAATTTTGACGTTCCGTACCTATAACCTCAAAAATATTCAAAATTTCTTAAAATTCTACATGCATCATTCTAATTTACCAAATATCCTATATTCAAAGTTTCTGATAAACATCGTTGGTCAACAATGACCCACGTGACAGGCTAATGCATTCAGAATGCATGCGATCCTTAGAAAGCGTGAACTTGTTTTCGAATTTCAGGTTTAGGACAATTTCTGGAACGAGGGGAAGCTGTCGATTTGAATAGCCGTTCGTGCTGCGTCCCGTTTACAATTTTCTCAGCCTCGTTAGACTACCAAATGACCGAAATATCTTCCTGATTGCCATATTGACCGAATGAATGAGCTCTTTGCATAACTTTGGAACTGGGACACCGTCAGAACTCGACCACCCGGCATTTGACTCGACACGAAGACTCCTGAAGAGCTGTGGTTCCTGAAAACGCCACTAGAGAATTATGCAAAATCCTCTGTTTGCTGTGCGTTACACGCATTGTGTTGGTGGTTTTGTAAATTACACGGTCCCTGTCTTTTCCGGAACGCGTAACCACGAACGAGCATTCATAGACATTTGTACAAACGCCTGGAACATTCGTGTACGAACTGTTTGAAAGTCTCTTTCGAAGGAGTCGCTTAGAATGTTTGGAATAAAGTTCGAGGTTAAATTTTTTATTGATTTGATGAGTCATGTTTGGGCGTTTGTGACATGAATTAGCTGGTGTATTTATTTTTCAGGTTATGGACAATTGTGTGAAAATTGTGAGCAAAGAATAGTTGACAGTGGAGGAATTTTTCTGAAGAAAATGAAGATAACTCAGATGAAAATTAATAATTAGTAGAAGAGTATAATATAAGAAAGTTAATTTGTGGCTATGCAAGAGTCACAAATTTAAATTTAAATTTAAATTATTTGCAATTAGGAAAATTGAGTGAAATATTTGTATTAAAAAATACTATTAAGGGAGTGTTATATAACTCCATGTTAATTTGAGGCTACGCAAGAGTCAATTTAAATTTAAATTAGGAAAATTTAGTGAATTTTTGTCTGTAGTAAAAAATGCTATTAAGAAGAGTATGAAGTAACATAATGTTAATTTGTGGCTACGCAAGAGTCAGTTTAAATTAGGCAAACTTAGTGAATTTTTATTTGTATTAAAAAATACTATTAAGAAGAGTATGATATAACAAAATGTTAATTTATGGTTACGCAAGAGTTACAAATTTAAATGTAAATTATTTTAAATTAGGAAAAGTCAGTGAACTTGTGTTTATATCCAAAAATGCTATTACAACAATTCTTCAGTTAACACTGAAATATTACAAACCTAATCTATAAAAATACTAGATTTATTATTAACTAAGAATTCTAACAATAATGAAAGATAAAATTATTTGATAATCTCATAGTAAATAAAAAGATTTTGAATTATTTGTACATTTGCTTAGTTACTTAAAACAAAAGTAAAGTTAATATTCGAAAGTGGTAGAATTTGATCGTATAACAACGGCAGAAATGAATTATCGTTCTAACGACGAGTGAAGCACGCGTGCAGGCAGGTTAGTGTTGGGGTCAAAGCGAGAGGTGCAAAAGGTTGTAAAAAGAGTTAGAAAAGGAAACGGTAATCCGGCATATCGGCGTACACGCGTGGCTATAAAAGTACTTCGGTAATGGACTCCAGTCAGCCGACAAAGGGTTTTATTTAAATAACTTGCGGCAGGCGAAACGGCCCATTCGAAAATCCGGCGACACACCGGCGTTACTGCGCCGCCATATTGTCGTTGTCGATAGAAACCATACTTTGACGATAACGATGTCACGTCAATTTCGCATGTTACAAGAGATGTTGATGAAAGAATTTCATAAATAATGACATGTCAGATTAATACACAGTTCTGGAGTTCCAAAATTTAAAATTTGTGACGTTCTAAATTCTAATGTCCCAAAATACTGCATCGCCATATTGTTGTCGATAGAAATCGTACTTTGATGATAACGTGCATAACATGTCGATGTTGCATGTTTAAAGAAATGTTGAAAGAATTACATGAAGGATGATCTAACATCAAATTAGTGCACAGTACTGAAGTCCTATTAAAAAAATTCTGATGTCCCAAAATTTTAATCTTCCAAAATCCTAATGTCCCAAAATCTTTATGTCCTACAATCCAAAATACTAATTTCCCAAATTCCAATAACCTAAAATCCTAATATCCCAAAGTCTCAAAAGTCCTAAACATCGAAACTTTCAAATCTCAAAAAGATGCCAAACTTGCCAGCCTCAAGACGTTCAAATCGCAGCGGGTGTCCTCAAGGAGCAACAAAGAAAGAAACAAACGAGTCCCAACTCCGTTCAGCAGCTAAAAGCAGAGAAGAAGAGATTGCCCGAACAAGGAAATAAAAAGAGCGAAACAATCCACGTGTGGGGTCATTTTTGATGCACGTTCGCGAGCTACAGAACGCGAAAATGTTGCAGAAGCGACTATACTGTTACGAGTATAGTTGAAGCTGTTCTACGTAAAACGAAGCACCAAAAGAGGCCTTATGGGCCCCATGGGTCCGTATGGGCTGCGCGAGGTCAGAGGGTCCTCTGTTCCAATTTTGTGGCCAATAAGGCTAATTCCTTCAAAGGTGCCGGCGTGTCTGGTATACGGCCACCTTGCTGGTGAGAACTTATCGACTAATTTTATGTAAATTATGTGACGTAACGGATTATGGCTTACGACCGTTTCCTCTCGGAGGATGCCTTTTCGGAAACACGGTTAAATTCTTGCGGATGAGATTCGTTTTGTGACATATGCGTGACTGATTGTTGCTTTTATTACTAGGATGTTTAGAGATTAGTTTATATTATCTTTGTTATCTTTATTATATTTGTTATTTTGGTTATGTTAAGTATTTTGATTATCTTTATTATTTTTGTTATATTGATTGCATTGATAATGTGGACAATGTTGATGATGATGTGTATTATGTTGGACCAATAATTATACTGTTTCACAAAATTAAATTAATGTATTACAAAACAGTCGTTGATCACAAAAATGTCACAGCGTACTTTATGTTCAACAATTTATAGGTTAGGTACATTCTTTCAGTGTCTTACAAATAAACATTTTGCAATTGCAAACTTGCTGACTTATATTGCGATCAATTTGAAACTCCACAACCTATTTAAATTGTGCACAATGTATTCTTACAAATCTGCTAAAAGTGTTGACCCAAACCCCCTAAAATATGAAGAACAATTTTTACCGAAAGAATTTACGAACACATCAAAGTCCCTGCATGAAGTACAATCCGTATATCAATCGAAAGGCAGATATTAATCTTGAAAGAAGCACGTCCGTTTCGTCGGAATTCCTGTTGCAAATAGGGAACGTATGATGTCAAGGGTCGTCACATATCTTGCCTCTCACAGAGCCGATACTTATTGAGTATTACAAATTTACATGCAAGATACGGCTACCGAGAAAGAAACGAGCCACTTTGAGCACCATTTCGACCTCCATCACTGCTGCCGCATCTGTCTGCTGGTGTTATTGCGAAGGCTGACGCATAAAACAGTCTCGTTTTTGTGCTTTCCTCGGTACTCTCCTTGCATATATAGTCTTTTAGTCTCCAGATTAATATAGAAACCATATTGGGAATTTTCGAAGGACAAGAGATAATGTCCCAGTTTGATCCATACTTATAAAGACCAACCAAGATTATCATTCAAGATATGTTGAAAAAGTTTGACTGTAAATGTGCATCAGAGAATGCGCAGAATATCTCAGGTCTCAGGATAGGAAATGGAGGTTGCCTAAGGGCAACGTAAAGGGTGTCGTATGCACCGAAACGAAGTAATCCGCTAAACGATGGTTGTCGGAGAGCAGGGTTGGAATGGCCGGAGGAAGTCTAATGAAAGGCACGCGCACTCTGACGGTCCGGCGTGAGAATAAAATAATTAGCTGAGCTGCCCTCCTCTTCGTGAACCCTTCCTCTATCCTCCTCTCGCTCTCTCCACGTCCTGAGAACGCGAGATGAGAGTTGTCGAGGAAGATGGAGCACGCTGGAAGTGGCGAGGTGGAAGGGGACGGACGCTCTGGCCAGGTGGGTCGTAAAGCCTTAGAATGATGCTCTAATAAATCCCACTGAAAAATTGCGAGGCCTCAGGCTCGTCGAGAAGTTTCTTCTACCATCCTCCGTTTCTTCCTCGTCATTCTTTGTCTTCCTCTTCTCTTTGCACTACGGAGAACTCTCCCTATGATACCCTTTACCGAATACCTGCGGAATGGACGTTTCAACGCGATAACGATCTTAGGCATCCAGAATTCGTTTCTTGATAACCTTTATGTGATCACTGTCAATCGTTCGTTTCGCTGCAGATTCTGGTCTACATTCGCAGTGTGATGTTGAGAAGTGTTCATGTCCTTGTGCTATTCTTCTATGAACTGTTCTATAAAATTCTAAATGACATGACAATTCACTGAAGATTTGTATATTCTTGTACATGAACATATGAGATACTTTCAGGTGAATACTTCTTGTATCAAGCATTTCAGACTCTGCAGTTGTGCTCTGCAGTTCAAACGTGACAAACCAGACTTATCTAATCTGCACAGTGAATGCAACAGACAGCCTATTTGAACTTCAAGCCTTGAACCTAAGCCTAATTTTTGAGAGAGTCATAAGCCCGGATGAAACGAAGAAGCACCAAGGTCCCAAGAGTGCTCGTGAGATGCGTGATCGTCGGTTTCTTCGATAAAATGGTCCTCGATCATCCGAGAGGAAGGAACTCCCAGAAGGGAGGTGGTCTTCAGGAGCGTTCCCCGATTTTCTCGGCTCTATGGATTCGCAACGGACGTCTCGGGCAGCTGGCGGGTCGTCGAGTGAAATCACGAGAAATATCGTAGCCGGGACACGAAAACGAAGGAGGACACGGCGAATAATCGGGTAAATGGTAGGAAGTCGCGAGAGCAAGCGACACCGGGCCGAATCCAATCCGCGCGCTCACGAAGCAAGCGGACTGTGACGAAACACGAGACTCGCCTTGGCATCGAAGGATCCTTTTTAGCTTTTTCCACGGTCCACAATCAAAGAGCGCGACTTGGCTCGTGTACATAAAGGATCGAACTCGAAGCTTGCCTTTCGGGAAAAAATATCGGGGGCACGAGTCACTTCCTTTGATTTTTTTTTTGTTGGATGTTGGAAAAGTCTTTAATTCTTTTGGTGAAGAAATTCTGACAAGAAAACCAAACTAAAATGCTTAAATTGTAGCAAGAAAATTGGACTACAATCTAAAATGTATAAGTTATATGAAGAAAACTGAATTGTAACCTAAAATGCGTAAACTGTAGCGTTAAAACTGAACTATAATGTAAAGTGCATAAACTGTAGCGAAAAAATGGAAGCATAACCTAAAATGTATAAACTGCAGTAAAAAAACTGAACTATAACATAAAATACGTAAACTATATCAAGAAAATTGAACTACAATTTCTAATATATAAATTATATGAAGAAAACTGAATGGTAACCTAAAATGCGTAAACTGTAGTGTTAGAACTGAACTAAAATGTAAAATGCATAAACTGTAGGGAAAAAATGGAGGTACAACATAAATTGCATGAACTATAACAAGAAAACTAAAGTATAACATAGAATATAGCAGTAAGAATGCTATTGAGAAGAAATACTAATAACTGTCTTGTTTATTTTGTTTTGACAAGATTGCATTCTAACAACAAAATACTTGACTGTATTAAAATAATACACCTGTAGTATAGATATGTTTATAAGGGTTGTTTTTCTTGGTTTTGTAACATCGAGGGGTATAAACTCAGTTTAATTCGTCCTAAAATAACACTCGAATAGTAGTACTCTTGTATATATAATAACAGGTCGTTTTCAACAAAAACCAAGTGTCCGGATACTTATCGACGGTAGTGTATAATGTACCCAACTTCTAACAATTTATACACCGCGTCTAATCCGCCATCTCAATTGCCAAACTAAACAAAATGGCGGCCGCATGATCCACAAGCTTCATCGAGAAGGGTCATCTTCAACCGCTGACTCCTGGCGCAACCTGACCGGTAAATAAACAACGTTTTAAAAAGTCAGTGGCCACGGAATTAACGGTTAACGGGGTTAGTGTCAGCTTCGCGGCTTATCCAGCGGCTAAGACGAGGTTAAGTCTGAGAGGACGCATTATCTTGC